TTTTCATCCCGGAAAAGATTCAGTAGGAAACCCGGCTGTAAAAAAAAACGTGGTTGTTGATAACTTGGCATTATGGGAATACTTAAAGGAGAACTACTGTATGAGGTAAGTGATTTACACTCAGCCTCATAGTTAGAGCTGACGTGTGACATTGAAGCTGTCACACGTCGGCTCTATTGATCAAGAAGTGAGCAAACACATACCGTCGCTCATTCACTTCCCAATTATCTCCCTGCAGAGAGCAGTGACTGTTAGTCACCACTCCCCACAGGGACTCCCCTCCTCCCCTCCTCCCCTCCTCCCCTCCTCCCCTGTCCGATCCTGCACTGCTGACTGGAGGAACGGACAGGGGAGGGGGCGGGCACAGCTTGCTCAGCCTCTAGATAGGCAGAGCCCGCTGTCAATCAGCCAGCTGGGTGGATCTCGACAGTATTGTTGGGATCTGTCCCAGGTTGGGCGCTCTCAGTATATAGCGAGCGATACCTCGATATATACTGAGCTTTGGGTCACGGGAGGACATTAGTATATGTCCTCCCGTGACCCTTAGGAGAACTATGGGATAAAAAGGTTAGCCCAAAGTTCTCTTTTAATTCCAAATCTATAATGCTGAAAGTGGCTTTTTTACACCTTAATCGATCCAAAATGACCCATACCTCTGTTTCACTTCTAGTCAATTGTACAGTAAATATTGCATGCATAGCAACCATAAAGGGCGCAGGATAGAAGGACCAGAAAGAGGCTGCAGTCCTGCTTACACAGCAGTGTTTCTCTCCTGGGCGGCCGGGAGTGGGAGGCTCCCAGAGCGCCCGGGAGAGTTTTTTTTTCATTTTTTTTTACAGCAGCAGAGCCGCCGGACAATGGGAAACTATTGGGCGGAGCTAGCTGTGACTGCTAGCTCCGCACAATCGTTTTCTATTTACTTTTTTCACTCTTTTTCTGCTCTGCTCGGTCCCTCTGAGGTCTTTTTTTCCTTGGGACCGAGCAGAACAGCCGAGCCAAATGCCGCTCAGCGGCATTCGGCTATTCACTCACTGCTGTTCGGCATCTTTAAGAATAGCCCGAACTGCAGTGAGTAGCCTGCCAGAGGTTCGGCTCAGCCGATCCAGATGTTGGATCGGCTGAGTCGAACTCCTTCTGCACTCCTTCAGCCACGCGAAGCAAGCCGATGTACGGCTGATTTCAGCCGATGTACGGCTGAAATCAGCCGTACCAGTCTGAAGTGAATAGCCGAACAGTGTTCGGCTCACTTCACTTCAGATCGGTCATTCACCCGGCTGCCCTCGGCAGCTTTGTGAATAGACCCCATAGTGAAAACCCTGCACAGTCTTGTAATGTGAAAATGATATAAAGCTTGAATTAGACTAAGTAAGAGGGGTATAACCTACTGGCATTTTTTTCTGGGAAGCCACAGCAGTCTCCTGAATAATCTTACTTTCTACCTGAAGTTGCTGAATTAAATGATTGTATTCGGATATTGGGTGTCATTGTTATGTTTCTTGTCTTTTTAAAATATTTTTATAGGTTAGCTTGTTGGCGAAAAGGTAAAAATGTAAAACATTAAATTAAACATAAATATAGATTTTTTTTTTATCTAGGAAGCATACATAAGCATGTAGCGAGCTAGAATGAGTAAACATTAAGTTGAAAATTAATATTGATCCCCTCAGCCACTGCAGAAAAAAAAGCATTGCCTATTTCACATTGTCTACAATAGGAGATTAGGGTCAGCTCAGATTTTTATTGGTATTCTCAATGTGTTAATCTGATGAGGTATTAAAGTGGAACTGTAATTATGGTTGATGTAGCCCAGTCACTCCCTGTTGCTTTCACTACATGTGTACAGTACCAGACCTCAGCCTTTGCTCAAGTTTCTGATGACCAGCTTGCACTCCACTCCAGCCATGTTTAACTTGGATTCCTAATTCAAAGTATTGCTCAAGTGCTCCCTGTGTGTATTGATTATATTGGGCTGCCCTGTCGATTCATCAATCTAATGTAGCCCCCATCACCTTTTGTGAGGTGTCTACTAGAAATTTAGTGATAGCCAAGGCTGTATTCTGCCTGAATGGATTAGTTGACATTTATCTGGTTAATTTCAGGTGTCTGGCATTGACTGAACCCACCTGGGTGGAGTGTGACTGCTGTATTGTGGGACAGCCAATGAGGGACATTGTAAGTGTATGTACAGTGCAGCAGCCAATCACTGGGTTTCTTTCAACCAATGTTGCATGCTGGGATAGGGTGCATATAACTGGAGGGAATTTCCATGTGCTCAGTCGAGTCCAGTGCGGGACCAGCCATAGAGTAGTCCAGGGCTGGGTGCTACTGTTAGGGAAGGAGCGAAGTCCCCCTGTTTGTTGGATTGGACCCCAATAGCAGGGAACAATACCAGAGTCCAGGCTGAGGTACAAGATAGGATGATCCAAAATGCGTTGTCAGAGTACAGCCCGGGTCGAGGCAGGCAGCGAGTATCATAAACGGTGAGGCAAGCCAAGAGTCAATAACCAGGAGATCCAAATAGCAGGGAAGGGATACAGGAAACAGGAAACGGGGAATGGCAGAATAACTCAGCAACAAGTCTTGGCTCTGGCTGGAATTTAAACCCAGCAGGGGCCAGCGACGCCCTCGTTGTCTGGGCAACGAGGAAGCCACAGGTCCCTGGGAACCTGTGACGGCTAGGAGAGAGGGAGTGCTCGCAAGGCCCTCCCTGGCAATGATCAGCACCCGAGTGATTAAGAAGTCACAGCAGCGCCACATGCGCACACCACGCATGCACGTCATGCATGCACTCACCCGCAACCTGCCGCCGCTGGGCACCAAATCACCCCAAGAAGGACCCTACAATCTCTGCCGTACCCGCCGGATCCCAGGTAAGAGGGCACCCCTGGTCCCACGATAGCTACACAGCCTAGCCACCCCTCGGGCTAGGCCGGAGCCTGAGGGTGGGCAGAGGCTGGAGTGCGGGAAGAGTTACACTAGGCCTCACTTATGGAGGAGGCCTGTGCTGTCAGAGGAGGAGAACCAGGAAATATGATGGCTAATGGAGGTGCCTGGAACTTATTGGACCTCAGGAAAATGGCTGGTGTCTCTTCTGCTGAGGATTTGTGTTCATTCCCTGCTCATCTGCTACTCAAATTACTACACTGAGATGCTAAAAAGGTCTGGTGAGTCTGGAGTCTATTTCTGTACTACCCTGGATGTCTAGGACCCCTATACCTTTCTCTCCCCAGTGTGAAGATGTTAAAAAAAATGATTCAGCATTATACTTCTGGAGTGGGTATCAGCTTCGTGAGCACTAGAAGAGGGCGTTTAAATGCTAATGGGGCAACTGAAGACCAAAACCCCTATACCACTAGTGATGACCCGGGTTATTCTGGCGACTCCTTCAGGGGTGAGCGCTGCACTACTAATCTATAGGCAGCCAGTTATAGTCATTACACACAATGGCTACCTGCACAACACCTGGGTTGTCTGCTGATCTGAGGTCTAGAGTTTTCCACCTACATCTGATAAAGAGGACACAGCATCTTCTTCATCCTCCTGTCATTTCAGTTTAATAATGGTATGCCATACCTCCCAACAGTCTTAGATTGTGGCGGTCTGTCCTGCATTTTTACCTACAGTAGGGTAAATACATGGGTACATTTTCAAATGAATGTTGGTACGAAAAATCCCATTGGAATGTGCAATAATGCCATCAGAGACCTGGTGACTTTTGTTCAAAATTTCATTCGATTTTCTTTTTCATTTAACATTCAATTTTGGAATGAATAAAGTTTCCAGAACGAAAATCTCATTCACTGTTCAATCATCGATTTAACCCCATCAAGTTAGAAAGTCAAACGAATTATCAGAAATCAATTTTGTTTGTTCGAAATTCTAACCGTGTATATCCTACTTTAGTCCCATGTTCCCATGTACAGAGGCTTTGTCCTGAACTAGCTCATTCTTCAATCCTGCAAATCGATGCAAGATTTACTATGAATGAGCCAATGTGGGAATTGCATATGAATGAGCTGTGGCTGGACTTGCATATGAATGAGCCTTGGTGGCAATCCTTATTATTATAAATCTTCCACTGCCAGGTGAGATTCTTCTCAAAGCTGCTGCAGGTATATTTTCAAGCCACACCCACATTTCACTATTCACCATGGACTGCTACCTGCACCGTGTTCCGCTGCTTTAACAATGGGAAAAGACCAAAAGTTGGGAGGTTTGGTATGGCCTTCGACACCTTATATTTTTAAACAAAGTACTTTCATGGAATGTTTGAAAGAGAGAAGAATTTAAAAAAAAAATAGATCGTTCATTTATCAAATCCACTTTTTCTACATTTGGTTAAGCAACCGCCTGATAGTAGATAGTCTTGATCTCTCATTAGCAATCCAGACTTCCTCCCAGGAATGATAGATCACATACAGTATTTGGAAACCGTTCATATAATGATAAACTTAGAATTGTACTAGGGATGTTCAAATACCAGTAACGATACTTGGCAATTTCACGAGAACTACCAGGGTTGCAGGGGTGGTAGCTGGTACCCGGCTCTGACGCTCCACCACTGTCCTGAAATCATTAGTCTATATTGTTTTAGAAAAACTGTCACATGACAATAAACAAAAATATATTAGTACTTGTATCTGTGAGGACTTGGACAAGTATCAGTACAAGTAGAAATTAGGGATGCACCGATACCGGTATTTCGGTATCGAGTACGAGTACCGATATTTATTTATTTGTACTCGCTGATACCAAATACCCAGTACCAAAAGCCCTATTCAGGAAGCCTGGCGGTGTGTAATGACTCGCCACCTGGCTTCCTGAATAGAGGGGAAGCCGGGCAGCGTGTAAATACTCGCCACCCGGCTTCCCGATTAGCAGGGAAGCCATCCCCACTAGGTGACGAGAAAGCATGGAGCCGGCTTTCTGGCCAATCAGGAAGCCGGGCGCTGTGTAATGACGCGGCGCCCGGCTTCTTGATTGGCCGGGAAGCCAGCTCCATGCTCCTCATCATGAGGTGACCAGGGAGCATGAAGCCGGCTTCCCGACCAATCAGAAAGCCGAGCGCTGCGTCATTACATGGCTTCCTGATTGGCCAGCTTCCGTCCAATCAGGAAGCCGGGCAGCGGGTCATTACCTGCTGCCCGACTTCCTGATTGGCCGTAAAGCCGGCTCCACAAGTGACAAGAGAGCATGGAGCCACTTGCCGGCCAATCAGGAAGCCAGGCAGAATGTAATGATGCGCTGTCCGGCTTCCTGATACCGGAAGTATCGGGCTAGGCATCAGAGCATTTGAGCGAGTACTCGCCCAAATACTCGCCATCGGCAAATACTCGGCATCCCTAGTAAAAATGGTATCGGTGCATCTCTTATATACATTTTTATAAAAAAAAAAATCATACATTACAACAGGGATGCACAAATCCCAGTAGCTTTGTATGCTCCTTAAAAATGACAGCTGCCTCCTACCTTTATAATTTGTCTCTAGTCTAGTCTTGGAGCTGGAACAGTATCTGTACTTGTACTTGTATCGAGTACGGTACTTGGTATCTGTACATCCCTAATTTGTAGATTTAAAAAAATTGGCCCACCAATATATACAGTATTTCCCTGAAATGTAGTGTACTGGAATATACTTTATCCTTGGTTTATAGTATACCATCCTATAGTAAAGACTCGTTTATTCAACCTTCTCCCACCAGCTTTTACAGTCAGTTGAATTTTCAACTAAATTCTGTATTTATCAAAAGCAGAATGGTGTGATACCTCGTGGGTGGGGAAAAGATGATAACGACCTATGTTGGCTCCATGGCGCTTGTTTTTCGGTTCCTTTTTCCATTTTGGTGAGGGAAAATATTCTTTCACTAGGAAAAAAAAGCATTTAATGTTAAAATGTCCTTATAATGCTGCTGCAACTTTATAAGACCTATTATTATCTGACTGATTCCTTATTAACCTGTTGCCACTGGCTTTACGCATACAGGTAGCAGCACACCGGTGAGCTTTAGCACCGCTGTTCTGTCCTCAAGTGGTAATAGAGAAAGTGTTGTCACCGGTCTAGATAAGCAGTCTGGCAGTGCTGTTTAAATTTCAGGACTGGATGGATGGAAATACAAATCCCTTGGCAGGTAAAACTGCTCCCATATATATATATATATATTTTGTATCTGTTTGTCTGGAGTTCATTTTAAAAAAAAACATAAAATACTTAATATATGTGCTAATGATGACTGGCATGCTTTCCTATACCAATATTTTAGAAAAGAACAAAGATTCATAGTTTTAAAGACTGCTCATCTCAGAGTGTCTTGTTCTTTGAACAAAAGGCTTTAGCTCTCTGTGGATTGTAGTCAACCGCACTTTAACATTTAATCTGCCATACTTTTTTATCTTGTTCTGTGTGAACATTTTGTTTATAGTACAAGTTTACATGTATATAAAAATGCAATTACAGTATATAAAAAGCTACTGTTTTTGTTTATTGCCTTCTCTATCTGTTGAATAATTGTAATGGGTATTGTTAAAGACTAATATTTAATATCTTTTTGTATTTTTCAAAGGTGTAACCTGTCGGTGACATTTCATGAGTGAAATGGATAATGATGCTCCTCCTTGGTTTAACCAGAGCAGACCAGCTGCTGGAATTCCCCCATGGAGAGGAATGTACCCCCCTCCTTCTCTGAATCACTACAGGACCAACAATTATGAATATTACCAACAGCATCATATCCAAGGTGGCCATCAAGCTTGGCATGACCCGCGGATGAACTACTACTCCCAGAATCCTGGTAACGAGTCCAGGCCTGTAGAGACTAGGCGTCCAGCATCAAGGGCTGAAATTTATGAGAAGAGTGATAGGAGAGAGCCATATCGGTCTTTGTCCAGGTGAGAGCCCCTGACCAGATTTGACAATAAAAACTCAAAGACGTAGACTAATAACAGGAGCATTTAATGAGGCTAAGAAAAGAACAATGATGATATCCAAGTTGCAGCAGCTATACAAATACCAAATTTCTGTGTATCCTTCAACATTGAATTGTGCATGATGCATGTTAACATCACTCATATTGCCCTGACTGATGCACCTCCAACCTAAGAAGGCTTGGGAAAGGCCTACAGACATATGAATGTTCACATGATCCAAACATTGCTGAATCAGATGTATGTCCTCTAACATCGGCAGGTACCTGAAGCCTTTAAAGGGGAGTTATGGGATTAGTGAAATACACTCATCCCAATAGTTAGAGCCGACGTGTGAGACTGAAGCTGTCAAACGTCGGCTCTATTGATAGAGAACTGAGCAACCACATACTGCCGATCGCTCAGTTCCCGATTTCTCTGACAGTCACTGCTCCCCGCAGGGATTTCCCCCTCCCCTCTCTGTTCCTCGGGCGCTGACTGGAAAGACAGATGGGGGAGCGGACTGGCCAATGGCAGCGGGGTGGATCCCAAATATTGTTGGGATCCGTCACGTTTGCAGTGCTGCTCTGCGCTGTCAGCATTAAGAAGGCAATAGCCCGCTATATGCTGAGTTTTGGGTCACAGGAGGGCATTAATATATGTCCTCCTGTGACCTTAACTAGAACTATGGCAAAATAGGTTTGGCATAGTCCTCTGTTAGGGCTAGTTCACACCAGCCACAGTGCGTTCCGGTCCGATTCTGACCGGAACACACTGGATCGCTTTGCGGCAGGCTCACTTTGTTGTGGGGTGGGAGGGGGCGTGGCAGTGCATTGAAGTCATGGGAAGGCCTGGGAACGCGTGGCACATCAATGCCTGCGTTCCGGTGCGGTCAGAAAAAATAGTGCTTCCAGCACTCCCCTGCAGCCGATCGCATTGCGGCCGGAGGGCGTGGCTACGGTGCCATTGAACTCAATGCACTGCCATGCCCCCCCGCCGCCCCACAACAAAATGAGCCAGCCACAATGCGATCCAGTGCTTTCCGGCCTCAATTGGGCTTGTGTGAATTAGCCCTTAAAGTGAACCTGTTCTTTGCCCATTCAGGGCAAAGTAACAGATTAAGTAAACTGCCTCAGCATCAGGAATGAAGAGCAAATACGGGATATGGGGAGCCTGTGATGCTCTTTCTTTTCTCCCATATAAAAGTGGTGGTGCTTAGCAATTGGTCATTTAGGTGCCCAGCTTTGCCACATGCAGACAGTGAAAGAGACCTGTGTCCTCTGTAAGCTTTAAGATATGACTTTAGAGCCTATACGAGGACTTTCCCGGTTTGCTTCTGGTGGCCAGCTGAAGCAGTGATGGAATAAGGTCACCGGAGAGCTGAGCATGATGACTATTCTTCTGGAGGGAACTTCAGCTACCATTTCTTGTAACTTTTGCACGATATTGTAATTATTCGAGTTTCACCTGTATGTACAAAATATATATAGTATAGATACACACATGTATCATTGTGTGTCCTTTACACCACTACCCATTTCCACATGAACCTCGGCTGATAATCTGACATACAAGTGAATTTTGCGGTGATGGGAACGTTTTGGAAAGACAAGGTATGAAATTGTTTTGTTTGTTGGAGCAGAGGATAATGATTATGCTAGACTGCTGCCTATACAGCTAGAGGGTTGCTGACGGCTGCTGCATGAGTTCTGCACACATTTACAACTATTATACACATAGCCTGTAAAGATGCTGAATTATAAAAAATGTCAGAGTTATTTTTAATCTATTGATTTGTTAGTTCATCTTTTAGGGCACATTTTATCTCTGTAAAGAACAGTGTGTCTGTGTAATCCTCTAGAAAACACTTGTTCGGTTAAATTAAAGGTCAGCTACAGATGCATTAAATTGTATCTGTCCATCATAAACCATGGAAGCAGGCTAGATCAGTATTTTAGAGATTCGATTCTCTAGGAACTGATGACATCATGGTAGCATGAAGCATGTATGGCCTTTATTCAATAAAGTGTTCTTATATAAGTGCTTTTTCTTATATCTAAACACCAGGCGGATATAAAATGTGCTAATTAATGCGTTTATGTGTTAATTGATAAATCATTAAATGCAACTAGTATAAGAAACTCAATTTGTCAAATTATCAGACTATTCTAATGCCCTGCACAGTGGACCCGTAGACGGAATTCCACCACTAGTAGCTTAACAGGTCCTCCTGCAGTGCACATGTGTTGATAAGGAGCATGCTTAGAGTAGAAGAGAGCAGACTGTGCTGCTGTATCTTCATTATCCAGTCAGCAAGCTGAGGTTGTGTTCTTGATCAAGCTGTGCTTGGCCAATCTGTGGTACTAAAAACTAAATGTAACATTTAGTTAAAGAGCCAGCAACTCGGTTGTGCTAAAAGAGACCAGCTTCTTGGTTCCGCATTAACCAATAGTGAAGTGTTGGAGGTAGGAGGGGAAAGACTAGAGGTGGTGACCAGGAGGCTGGTCAGGGTTAGCATACTGAAGTTGTTTTCAGGCGTTTAGCAGGTTTTTATCTATTCAGTGTATCCTATCAACCTTGGATACTCTTAAGAGGAAAAACCTGCAACATACCTGGTGTGCTGCAGCTAATGGTACATGTGGCCACATCACGCTAAATTGTGGGTATAGCTCGAAGAGGCATGGTTAAATAGAAATAGAAACTGCACCTATTTGCTGTATACACTGTGCCCCCTTACACTAGCTGTCCCTAGAGATGTGCTGCCTTACATTGGTGGTCACAAGTGAAGTGCCCCCTTTAAATTAGTGCTTAGTGCAGAGGATAAGTGTTCTCGCTTGCATTGGTGGTCAAAAATTAAATGAAACTTTGGTGGTAACCATTTATGGTGGTTGTAGGTGACGTGGCTCCTTACATTAAACTGATATTAAAGTCAAAAGGTTTTTAAGCTATTAATCAAATGCTGATGCTTCTTGATGTTTAAAAGTACAGTAATACCTTGGTTTACAAGTAACTTGGCTTGAGAGTGTTTTGCAAGACAAGCAAACATTTCTGAAAAATTTTGCCTTGATATACAAGCGATGTCTTGCAATAAGAGCAACATTTTGTAGAAAACCACCACAGAATAAGGCTGTAGCAGTGCGAGCGATGAGTCTGTTTAACGACAATGCAATGTCACATTGCATAGATTACTTGTTAAGGTTTCACGAAATGAAAAAGATTCCATTGAGCCGAGAGATAGCAGTGATTTCGTTAGTGATAGTGAAAGTCGTCCTACGCAATAATCCTCCTCTCTCTTGTCCCCCTCACCCCAGCCACGAAGGTAACTGGAAATTGGTTTATTTTTCTTTATATTTTGTACAGTATTATATTACTGTACTGTATTGTAATCATTTTATATGAATATTTTTAGGTTGTGGAACAAATCATCTGAATTTAAATTATTTCCTATGGGGAAGTTCGCTTTGATATACAAGCGCTTTGGATTACAAGCATGCTTCCGGAACTAATTATGCTCGTAAACCAAGGTATTACTGTATTAGCTTTCCTATGGAGTCAGTTGGTCCCCTGAGCACTGATCCTGAAATCCTGTTTTAGGGTGGCTCTTAGGAATGAGGGAGGGAGCAGATGAAGGGAAGTTTATTTAGTGAGCAAAAGTCCACTTTATGACACAAATCACTTTTTTTGCTGTCTTTGTTCCATCGAGGAGTTTCACTTACAGACCCAGAAAGTAGAAATGATTCAGGAAATGAGAGAAAATATTTTCTAAGGGAGGGGACATTTGTCCCTGGTGCAGGGGTCCGCACTGCAAGATTTTCCCTTAGGCCCGGTGCAAACCTGAGCGATCCGGGATGGCGCGTCCCAGGATCGCGCGGTCCTGCACAATTGCAGACAGCGAGGCCCCATTGATTTCAATGTGGTTACATCCGCGCAGCAATCGCAGAAAAAAGGTAATGTGCCTTTTTTTGTGACACACGACGCACGGCTGTTATAGCCGCAATTGTGTTCGAATGCACGGATGGAATCGGGAAACCCCAACGTGACTGGGGTGCCATTAGGAAATAATGGCACCCACAGCGCGATCGTCTGTGATGGGCGACTCCGTGACCGCATGGCAATCTGCGCAGTATCTTGCACAATTGCCGTGTGGTCACAGATCGCCTAGGTGTGCACCGGCCCTTAACTTCTGTTCCTGGGACAGCTCTAAACTTTTGGATTTCAAACCTTCTGTACTAGAGGCAATGGTCATAAGGATATAATAAAAAGCATGAATCTCCTCACCAGGGAAACAGATAGAAATAAAACATGCCGTTTTGACCCTTCCACATGCAACTAAAAGAAACTTTTTAGATACACATTAAGCAACTAGAAGTAGCCTCTTATGTACACTATATTGCCAAAAGTATTGGGACGCCTGCCTTTACACGCACATGAACTTTAATGGAACCCAGTCTTAGTCCGTAGGGTTCAATATTGAGTTGGCCCACCCTTTGCAGCTATAACAGCTTCAACTCTTCTGGGAAGGTGTCCACAATGTTTAGGAGTGTGTCTATGGGAACGTTTAACCATTCTCCCGGAAGCGCATTTGTGACGTCAGGTAGTGATGTTGGACGAGAAGGCCTGGCTCGCAGTCTCTGCTCTAATTCATCCCAAAGGTGTTCTTTCGGGTTGAGGTCAGGCCAGTCAAGTTCCTCCACCCCAAACTCGCTCATCCATGTCTTTATGGACCTTGCTTTGTGCACTGGTGCACAATTATGTTGGACCAGTAAGGGGTCATCCCCAAACTGTTCCCACAAAGTTGGGAGCATGAAATTGTCCAAAATGTCTTGGTTTGCTGATGCCTTAAGAGTTCTCTTCACTGGCCAAGCCCAACCCCTGAAAAACAACCCCACACCATAATCCCCCCTCCACGAAACTTTACACTTGGCACAATGTAGTCAGGCAAATACCGTTCTCCTGGCAACCGCCAAACCCAGGCATATCCATCGGATTGCCAGACAGAGAAGCGTGATTCGACACTCCAGAGAAAAAAGCCTGACGAAGGGGACCCTGTGTGGCCCCAAAAGCGCTTGGCAATAAGAGACATCATCTGTCAATAAATGAGCATCTAATTGCTGTTATTATCGTTGTTGGACTGCTGGTGACGTTTTTCTTTTTGTCTACGTGTGGCAGTGCCATCTGCAGTCATTTCGAGCACCTTTTTCTTGGGGAGTCCCGGAAAGGAGTGTGGCAAGTTTTCTTTTTTCTCGTCATTTCAGAGAACACATCTATGCACTGACCCCGCTCTGTCATTTTAAGTGGCCTATCACTTCGTAGCTGAGCTGCTGTTGCACCCAATTGCTTCCACTTTGTTATAATAGCACTAACAGTTGACTGTGGAATATCTAGTAGCAAAGAGATTTCACAGAAAACCTGAATCCAATGATATGGAGGGGTGTCCCAATACTTTTGGCAACAAGTGTATCCTTTAGAAGCTTATTGAGACCCCATGGTTTAGATTGCTAAATATACCCTATTAACAATTATGACAAGCTGGGATAGCTGCTGATATGCAAATTAGCTCAACTTTTAAAAAAGACACTTAATAATATTTTGTATTTAGAACCTGCTCTGCTGTAGGATCTGCTGTAGGATCATCAGTGAGAGATGAGCTGTGCCCAGCCTCCATATACTTTCAGTACAGGTTTCATTTAGGGAAGCAGAGAGAGACTCAAGGAGAAGTCTTGAAATATATACTTTAGTAGTGCCAGTGTTTATTTCATGATGCTTTGGATTTTACAGACTTTTGTATAAAAACACACGCCTATTCCAGCTAATAAGAAGATGACTTCAGAAACAATGCTGCCCTCTCCTTCTTTCCTTTGCTTGACCTGATCCTGTCTTTCCAGGCAGGGATATGATGAAAGATACGGGTTTTATGAAGCTGTACATAGAGAAAACTATGGCAACAGAAACTATCGTTACGAGCCTGCGGCTACCGCCTCTGCAGAAAAAGGTACATTATTCTTCCTATAGTTGGTTTGGTCTTTTGTGGCAGCAGCAGACTGATACTGTACAACTATTTAAATAAGTTTCAAGCTTTTAGGATTTCCCCCCCCCTCTGTATTACAATGTGATTCAATTATGGAAAAAAAGTCATAAATGTCTCCTATGCAGGTCTTATCAACTTATGTGATACCACCCAACAAAACCAACTACTGGTCATTCAATGTGATGGGCAGCTTTAATAATCAATACATAAGTAAAAAAAACTGCATATAGTGCCTCTTGGTAAATAGGCGCCACACCCCTAAATCTAAGACCCCAAAAAAAATAGCATTTTTTGGGGCTTTAAAGGTGCCAAAGACACAGCCAAACGTGTAAACTTATATTTTACAATCCATCTAATTTATTTACATAAATGGATAAAATTACATTACATATATGTTACAACAACAAGAAACCATAAAAACATTGAATGTTGCTAGACCAGCTTATAATTGGGTATATCTAAACCCCCTAATAGTACATCATCTCCTTTCTTCAGGAAGGGTTGGAGGTGATCATACCAAAAATAAAGTGTGCAGATCTATTGGTGGCATAAAAATCCATGCACACTGGGGAACCCCAGCTTTAGAATCAACCTGGAACCAGGGTAAAGGAACTCCACATGAGGATTAAATAATACTTCAAAGAACCTCGTGCTGCGTGTTCCAAACACCGCCACCCGTCAGACCCGTAGCAAGCTGAGTTCCAAAGAATCATAAATCCGACCCGTACTGAGGCGCTAAGCCACTAATCTCAGAAGACTGAGATTTTGCATAAGTTGGGAGGAAGAAAGGGGTATGGCAAAAAAACGGATTTCCTAGCTGAAGTGGGTATTTGCATACTGGTGCAACGTGGTTTTCTGGGCTATTAAAAATAGCTGTAGATATGTAAAAGCACCAGTAATATCCCAGAAGTGATCATTTTGAACAAATACAGGTTTACTTTAAAGCAATCAAATCCCAAGAGAAATACTGAACATAGGCTACCATTGCTGTCTTATTGTAGATCCTGTAGCTTGTCTAGGTTTTGAGTATACACATCAGGAGCTCTGGTATATCTCTGATTTTACTTCAATATGGGTCAGTCACTCAGAAATATTCAAAACAGAGGATCACCATGATAAAGACGCGTACTTTCATAAAAAAGTCAGCACGGAAAGCCTGTGTCTCATGACACTTTTTTTAACCTCTCCTGTCCGTGTTCTCAGTATCCAGTTTCATTGTAAGGTAAAGTATACCACTTTTGGCCAGTCTTTATGAATACATTTTTTACGTTTGCAAGTTTATAAACTGATGTTTTGCAGAACATTTTCAGTTACTTTGTAAAGTCTTTATTATATAAATAAACATTTATTACAATGCATTATATAGTACATGCATGACACTTATTTCAAAGCATATGTGGCTTTCTAATAAGGAAGTCCAGCACTACCTGCGTGCTTTTGGCAGCTTCTGTTTGATTGTTTGATTGACTAAGCCAGACAGTTCTGTCTCTGCTAGAAGAGTGCCTGTGCTCCTTCTCTGAATCATTGCATGGTCTGTGATTCATAATCTGATCTCTGCTGCTGTACAGGCTTATTGTACAACAGTGGTAGGTTTTTGAGTCTGTAAAAAGTTTACTACCTGCTGACTGAAAGTGTTAATATGAAATGTTCATATACAATGTTTTATATTTACCTATTTAAAAAAGGAAAACAATGTTTACAGAACAAAATAAATAAGTAAATAGATAAATAGTGTTTGTCTGATGATCTGGGCTGATGTGCTATTATACCTTCATGCAGAGTGGAGCAGGGGAACACATAACCAGCACATGGAACACTGGATGCAAAATCCACCAAATGTTTACTATGCGGATCAGATTGTGGAGGCTCAGCAAAATAAAATAGCTCAAGACCGGTAAAGCACTCAAAATGTGTACTCTAAATTGTCTGTTATAATTTTATTATATTTCCTTCCGTTGTGTTTTATTGTTTTATTTCTGTTTTTATTTTCTTCTGATGTATGTATGACATTTAAGATTTCATGTGGCATCATAGCTTATATCCTGTTTTTTTCAGTCAATGCCAGAGCACCAGAACTACCACATAGCAAGTTGTTACAAATTTAACTATTAGAAGATATTATATAACTAACGCATTAGAGTTTGTTATCTGCAGTCTTGAAACCTAGGCTGCACCATGTCATGCCTTTTGCCCAGCAGCATTAGATGTTCGAAAACCTTAAAATCATTGCCATTAATTAATTATTGGTATCTGGAAGTCCACAGTCAAGTAAGAAGCTGTTCTGTGTGTTCTTAACAAATAGCTCAGGGAAGGCAGCTTTTTATTAATTGTCATAGAATGACATCAAGCATTCTACCACTAAAAACAACGATACACAAAGATAAGAGCCTACGGGTGACAGTATGAAACCCTGCATGTCATGGAAGCTTTCAATTTTAACTATTTCATTAAATAAAGGATTGCATAATTGGTTAACTAGAAAACTATGAATACATTACAATACGAATTTCACACTTACGGGTTGCCCACCTTAAAAGGGACCTTCTATGAAAATACAAGGTCCACTTATTTCTTTCTCCCTCACCCTTCACCCCTGATATCTACAGAAAGTGTCTGGAAGCTGGGCTCCAAGGTGAGTATTTTACATTTTTCCTCTGTTTTATTCTCCTTAAGATTTTATGTAGTGGCTTTATTTGGGGGTGGGGGGTAGAGCTAAGAAATAAGCCAGATGCTGGGGAATGTAAGCAAGGGTATATAGTAGGTTTTATTTTTAGGTTTTCTCCTAATGTGTATTTTTTTTAAAAATGGTGCTCGTACATGGGAGTGAGAGTGTGACCACCACTGGTCTAACGAATAATCATACCTTGTATTAAGATGCAAGGTCTATTTTAACAAAAATGAGTCCATTCTGGTCAAATTCTTCTCAAGGCTCTTCGGTTCTTCTTTACACTCTATGTTGCCTCCCAGACAAAGCTTCAGATGTTGAAAAGCATATAATAAATTACTTCTTGGTCAATCACAACACGGTGGCAGACCAACAGAGATGTAAAAAAAACATTGTGCAGTCCTTGGTAAAGGGACATTACAGACATTTATTAGACATACATCAGGAGGAAGAGTTAAGATTTATATAAAAACATTTTTTTAAAAGTTTGGTCAGCTAGCTTTAACTTGATGGCCATCCACACCTCTCTGAAGGAGATACTGATCTGGTGCACTACTGACAGCTTTGCATTAAGATGAATGAGAGTTGACAGCCTTGAGGAAAATGTTACCGAAATAGATATACTGCTTACTTCATCTCACAAAGTGTCTGACAGCACCTTAGGTAAATTGAATGTGTATTCATTGATATAATAAACCAATTCAATATTCATGGTAAGGGTATCTGAGAAATTTGATCAGATGGTCAGGATTGATAAAAGGTAATGGTTCCGCTTCAGTACTGTATATTTATACCTTCATGTTACCATGAAAAAAAATCTCAGATTTTCCATTACTTGCCGTTACTGGAACCTCCAGGAAATGCACTTCCGACACTAATAGACTAATATAAATCACAGCGCAAATTATCAGTTTGATGTCAGTGAGTAGAAATCTATATAAATTAGGCTTCTTAGTTTTCAGTGGCATGGTTAGAATTTAGCACTGAACATACTTGAGTCAGGAACAGACTATTTGCGTGTTCAGGAGAGACAGTGCTGTTTTGGAATAAAGATGTTTTATTCTTTTAAAGAAGAATAAAGTGTAAATTTCATATTTTGTTCAGTGTAGTAACATTTAGGGCTCCTAAGATCTCACAGCCCTGTGAGTAACAATAGGGCTCTCATTACACAGTTGCTTATATTACCTGATGAACTGGAGCCCAACCATTGAAGAATTTATGTGTTTTATAGCTGTATACTTTGGGTTTGCTGGGGATGCAAGTAAATTCAAAAAGGCAATGATAAATGACATTCAGTAAACAAGAAAAAGAGTTGTATGTAATCCACTGAAAGCAGATTCATCAATATTTTTAGTATTTATGGGGAAAACCACAGTGTGTGTGTGATGAGGGCAAGTAAAGGGACTGTGTGTGTGTGATGAGGGCAAGTAAAGGGACTTGGCTAGTGAGAATGCAAGGGTCAGAGGATGGATGCCAGGAAAATAAAAGCCATTCAACAGTGTCCCTGCATCAGTTTTTAAAGAAACATTAAATGTACCCTGGTTCTGGGTTCTGGGAACAAATTGGAGCATGCTCATGCAAACACGGTGATATCATAGAAACTTTCTATTGTTGTTGTGTTGCAGGGTTCAGGGATATGTCGACAACAATAATTGGCACTCCGGACGCTGCAGTTCTGCAATAGCAAAAATAGAGGTAAGATCTTCCTAATACACATGTCAACATATAATTCCTACACATGCTAGTACATTACACCCCATTCAGATCTGAGTCTTCTGCTTTTTCTAGGCTTGGTAGCTTTCTCAACCTTTTTTTATCCTGGTGGAACACATGAAATATTTTGTGAGGTCTAAGGAAACCCATGCTTTAAATGATTCTAACTACAGCTCTCAGTACATGTGTGTAATCTTAATCTGTTTAGCGTACTTTGTTTTCCTTTCCCCCCCACAAAGGAGGTCAACTTTAAATTAAGCCAGTAATGCAGGAAGATGAAGATTCAGTTTATTTTTTTGTTATTACCCACTTTATTTTTTTACCTTATCCAAGTAGGCCTAAAAGTCTTCCCTCTGATTTTCTGCTACACTGGCAGTGCTTGTTCGCTCCTGTAAGTCAGATGGCAGCTTTTGAGCTGAGACTGGGGAAGGTAGTTCGAGAAGTAGAAGCTGATGTCATCACTGTCCTCTGCTCCTTACAATGTATTCATCATGCGGCATGTGAATGAAGAAAAAATTATGCTTATTTTTTTTCCAATCACAATCTCTCCCTGAACCAAAGTGACTAAATCCTAGTCTAGGGTGATACACACAGGAAAAAAAAACAAGTAGGCAAATGTGAAAATATATTTATCAAATAATGATGCATAACTAAAAATATGTAACTTTGTAAATATGTGAATATATATTCAAGTTATACATTCAATTTATGATTAATTTCAAATTTCCCTATTTAGAGGGTTCTGTTTTAATATATTTTATGGGAAATAATATTCCTCTGTGCCACTGCTAATTTAATTTGATTTATATGAAGAGATAGACACTGATTTGATTTATCATCGGGCTATTACAATATAGTGGCGTAGTAGTAAAAGTAGTAAAGATACAGACCTTTCAAAACTGAAAATAAATTCTTGAGATGCACACAGGGCACACGTTCCCAGAACATCTGCTTTGTGATCCCTATTGTGGGTAATCCAGTGACTCTGAAATACTCATTTGAGATGCAGGAGAGGAATTTTACTACAAGATCCTTGCTTTCTTTTACACGTAGAAAGCCTCATGAAACTTTTTCAGTTCCAAGAAGTTTTCCATGGCCACCAATCAAATTTAACCCTGTGAGTTTGAATATGATTGGTGATACAGGAAAGCAAAGAGAGAGTAAGTCAGAGAGCACAGACATGAGGAAGTACACTCCCAGTGACCCTTTGATCAGCTGCATTAAAGTGTATGTCAGGGCAAAATAAAAAAAAACTACATATGCAGTACATCTCTGCAATAAATGTATAGCACCCTCTTACCTCTGGGCAAATAAAAAGGAACCCCAGCAATCTTGGTGGGTTAGCGTTTCAAACCTCCGGGCAAAATCCTTCACTCTGTGGGTTAAAGGAAATTGGCCTGTCTGAAGTCCGCATTTTGGAAGCGATCAAAATGAGGACTTCAGACCTCTACTTACAGTCAGTACAGAAAAAAGAGCCTTTAAAGCCATAACCAGCATTAGGAAAATGGGGCCTTTAAGCCAGAACCAGCACTCTGTACTCTTCAGACTGTTAAGCAGCTGTAGGCAGCACAACTACCTTTCAGATGATCAGCCAGACCTTCCTGCAATGGCCACTGTCAGCAACCTGTATCCAGGTCTCTAGACACTCTTCAGCAACAAAGCCTTTATTCAAAATGCTCCACCCAGGCTCTTCCTGCTCTATTACTGCTAAATGTACCCTCCAGCAATATAGAAAAAAATCTTCCAGGCTCCTCACACACAGTACCACTCTTTCAGCATCACCCTCTCCAGGCAGCAGGCGTGGGAAGTAAAGACCTCCAACACAGGCTCCTCTTTTGGCAGCAGTCCAGTAGACAAGGGTGGACACAGCTACACACATCTCACCAGGCAGGGAATGAAAGGTTAGAGCTTCAAGGAGGTGTCTTTATGTCCTTCCCCAGCATGTAAAACTGGCAATAAACCTTCTAGTGGTTGGTCAGAGAGATATAAATATTCCTAACTCAGGTCAGCTCCTTACACTATTGCCAAGGACAATTGCCAACAGCAGGCAGAAGCAAACAACAACCTGAACTTTGAGGAAAACCTGCAAAAAAGCAGAATGTTCAATTAAAGCCTAGACTGACTACAGCCTAGCAGCACTAAACTTAAAATGTCCTTGATTTTGTTTTTTTTTGCTGGTGGTTTGATGCACACTAAAAAGTTGTTAGCTACATTTATTTCGTGCTAATTGCAATTAGCCAATAGCAGGGTGATTATTGTATCTGCCCACTAAGCAGAGGAGCAGAGCTGAGAGAGAACTTTCTCTGTCAGGTCTGCTTCTCTGTTCACTGGGCGGGGTTTCAATAGCCAGCCTGCTATTGGCTATTGTAATTTGAAATAGCCAATAGCAGTCTGGCTATTGCTCCCTGCTGCTTACATTCACCTGTCAGCTGCGGAAGCTAGCCAGGCACTGTGGGGGTTTGTTTGAGAGTTACTATTAACTCCGAAGCATCAAGAAACTACAGTTATCCGGCACCTACCGATCCTGTGGGTGCCGGGTAACTGGGAGTTTACTGTATTGCAATGATTTTCTTTTTGTTGCCTACATATTGTAACAGATGACTGACATAATAGTATTTTTTTGCCTATATATTGTAAAGTCATAACATACTCAAGGAGTGATTTTATCTGACTGTGAGTGAAAAGAGAGTGTACAAGGTCCTTGTAGAAACAAAAACACTACTTTTTACTAAGAGGGCCCTGGGGCAGACAAACTTTCCACCACCCGCCTCAGAACCTCCTTTTACACTATTTGGAAATTGACTTAAAGTACATTTAAAGTGAGCCTGTGTAGACTTTTGTACTGGATGAATGCACAAGTTATTTTAATTTGTTGAGAAATCAATAAAAACATAATATGATTTTTTTTTTAAGCTGAAGGCAGATATGTAAAAGCAGACATCTGCACACCATATACATTGTGGAGCTCCATAGCAGCCTCAAAGCCCAGGGAGCTCCAATATGCAAATAACCAATCGTAGAGCTCAGAAGGAGGGAGGAGGTGGGGCCATCACAACATCAGTAACTAAAGTCTTCTTTTGATAACTAGATCTCTTCTGACTTCAGCTCTGTGATTAAACATACATGTATGGTTAGGTGCCTGTGTTACTTACTGTATCTGCCTGCAGCTCAGAGCATTTTTTAAAATATTATCTCATTATTGATTTACAAAAGCAAACTGAATAACACCTTTAGATGCCTGCTTTACATATCTGCCTCTGGCTCAGAACATTTTTTAATATTATGTTTCCATTGATTTCTCAATAAGAAGCAGAGTAACAACTTTAACTGCCTGCCTCACATATCTGGTTATTTTAATGAATGTGAATATTAACATTTCATATTATTTAGTGGATATTTAATATATCATAAATATTGTTTAATTACTACAAAGGAAGATATGAAAAATAAGCACTTTGTTAACACTGAAACATAGCGGCAAACATAGAATAATACAGCAACTTTAAACAGGACGACAGAATGATGCAGTCATTTTAAACAGAACATTTCTTTCAAACTACAAATGGGATTTTTTTTAGTATTGTGAAGATCTATTAATGATGTATACTGCAGTAACCCATAGTAACCAGACAGAACCCTTTTTTAAGTGGTCAAATGAAACCTTGGTTATTGTTAGTTATTACAATTTGCTTATTTTCATTCACAATGTGAGGAGCTACAGAGTTTGTGTTGGAGAAACATGGAGAAAACAAACTCTACAAAGCTTTTTGAGCCCATGAGACTTTGTTGAACTTTGGGTGGGAAAAGCCTCCATTCCTAGGTCCACATCTTACCTAGTAGTCAGACCTCTTTATTAGCTTCAGCTGTCCATGGCTCTTTTTATATGTGAGCTGACTGATGTTCTGGGTACTCTCACTCTTAGCTGTTGGAGCCTGCTGTAGAGTGAAAAGTCTGACTGCTGGCAGAACACTAAAAGGTACAAGAGCTACCTGTGTGTTTTGGGGAACCCATTAGGGTGCACCCTTTTAGTCAAGAACTGACATGAGTTTTTTTAAGTGGCTCAGATGAGCAGATGTTTCATTTATTTTATGCTATGGACTTGCTGTACAAAGCCCTCCTGCATTTAAATGGTGTGTTTCTTTGCTGTCTTGATGAATAAAAGAGCAGGACAAACCTACACGGACTGTTCCTGGAATTATAAGGTAGAATTAGAATTGACTTCAGTTGCAAATAAAAACAAAGGGTGTTGTCGCTAATTTAAGGATACTAGGCAATCACATACAGATCATTCTGTTATATTTCAGTAGCCAAATGTGCATTGACATTGCTGTTATTTAGCAGATACATACTGAAATATATAATAACCAGTTAGCCAGCTTTCCATACAGCTGTTGCAAGCTTGTTAGATATTGGCAGTGATAGATATGGACACCCTTGCTTACATAGGATAGTTTGGGGACAAGAAAGTAACATTGTTTATATCCCTTTATCTTTTATATATATATTTGTGATGTCTACTTATATTTCTCTATCCCAGCCGTCTTTCAGCTCAACTGAACCCAGTATGCTTTCTCAGTACCGTGATTCTGGTATGTCATCTAGTAGTTATGAGTTGAGTCAGTACATGCATGATCCGGCAGATGTCATTGGCTCCTGGAATTCATTACAGGATGGTAAGTGAGGAGTTTTTTTTTAATATAATGATAGTAGTGAAGGATTTGTATAATCTGGACCACAACATAGAATAGCCACAGCAAATAATAAGACTGAAACACTAACCTTACATTTCATTATTACAAATCCTAATTACTCTTATAAACCTCTTTTATAAAAATTATTTAAGAATCAAAAAAGTTTAGAAAAAGTTACTTTAGTAATTTCACAATAATGCAGTAATCATAGTACAACGCAAAGGGTACAAAGAGAACTGTGTCACAGTTCAATTTTACGAAAGTCAGTCAGCACAAAATTGGTATTTCAGCATTGCTAGATGCGGGAGAGTTAGAAACCTAGTTCATTTCTAAAAAGTATGTTGCAGACTGTGGTGCAATCTCATTGCTTCAGCTCTCAGGTCTGTACTCCTCCTGTGACAAGTATGAGAGGGATCACTGTCTCTTTGTTCTAAGTATATATTTTTTGGAGATGGGAGGAAACACCCAAACAAAGGTGTATTGGAGTTGCCAAAGAGATCCTAAAGGAGAACTATTAGGACAGTAAGATGCACTCTTCCCAATAGTTTGAGCCAGCTTGTGACACTGCAACTGTAACACGCTGGCTCTATAGTTCCAAAACTGAGCGATCACAAACTGCTGATCACTCAGTTCTCCCTGCAGAGAGCGGTGACTATCAGTCAGCACTCCCAGTAAGGATTCCCACCTTCCCTCTCTGCTCCTCCAGTGCTGAAGGGGAGGGACAGGCACAGCTTGTTCTGGCTCTAGAGAGGCAGCAGGGTGGATCCCGACAATCTTTCCCTGCTGCTCCGTGGCTCTGGGCTCTTAGCATATAGAGCCCACTATTTGCTGACTTTGGGTCCCCAAAAAAGGTTTGGCCATAGTTCTCTTAATTCTTTGAATTATACACTGTAAGCAATCATTGTGGAATTCAGCAAATAATACTCCTTGTAACAGAAATATTATTTTAGACTATAAGAAATATTATATTTACCTGTCCTGTTGTCTGTGCTAAAGCTATTTGCTCTGTTCAATAGCTATGGTGCTTGGATAATCCTCTTCACAAGTATTGGGTTCTTGGCCCTACACCACCATGCAGTGTGGTTTCTTCCCCCGGCCACTATGTTAATGCAGGACACACTAGTTACATAGGGTCCAGCTGAAGGAATCACAACACTTGGCATGGGACCAGGAATCTGACACTCCTGGGAGTGTGTTGGCAAAAGAGTTTTTTCCCGGCACTATAGCTCAACAAGTGAATGAATATCAGCAGCACAGACAGACAGTTGGACAGATGGTTATAATGTCTCTTCTTTACTGGGAAATATTTGTTTCTAATTTTACATTTTGTATGAGTGCCACTTTAAAAGGACATTTTTGAAAAATATATAAAAACATAGTAAACTTTATTTTAAACACTAATACGGGCTTTGAGTCATAAAACAGTGGCATTCCACAATAAAATGAACATGCATGTAGATATATGCACTAGCCCAAACTTCTCACAATCCATAGAGACACACAACCCTTATTCTTTTCTTCAGCCTTGTTGACGTCTTTGTTCTATATTAGGTACATATGATTTTTAGTATTGGAATGTTGAAGGTGCCTTTGCTACTGATTTGATTTTGAATTGCATTTTAAGGGGTTGTTATGCTTATCTTTCATCACTTGATGAATTTCAGACCTGGAACAACCGTGCCTCCAGTGAAGTGATATGCACACACTTGTTTCAGGTCCATACTCAAAGGATAAAAATGGGAGCAAAACAAATTGGCTATAATGTTTACTGTATTTCTGTCTTGACAAGTTCCTTTGAAATATAATTTTATATTATGCCCAACCTTTATGACAGTAGAATGCTACAAAGAGGAAATGCAAATTGGCATGCAGCTGTCCCTGAGTCAATTAAGGGCATTCTTTGCGTAGGAGAAAGAAGGGGCCTTATGTGTACTTTTTGGTCTGCTATGGCTAAAGCTAGACCTATGGTGTTAATAAATATAGATAATGGCAGGAATGTGTGGTTCTTGGACACAGTGATACCTGATGCACTGATCTGAGACATGGCCCTTTAGTAACATGTCCTTTCTGTAACACAGCCACCTATAATAACATTATGTATATTTTACTTGACCTATGTGGCAGTATGGCACCCATGTAACCTGGAATCTATGTTAACAATGTAAGTGTGGGCCACTGCTAATGGCCCTTCCTCTGTACTATAACCAATGGGTAACTTGTGGTAAAATGGTGCCCCTGTTAGCATGCCTCTAATTCTGTTTATGGTAGCATAGCTTTCTGGTAATATTTCCTCAACTCAAGGCGCTAGAGGTTCTGTGTCTACAGTGCTATGTGTTTAGCCTTGCAAACTATTGTAGCATTGATAATGCTGTGATAAAACGTTGTGTTCTCCCAGGATTTTGATCTGAAAGCAGAACAGAGCAATTCTGCATTTTTAAAAACAGAAAAGTGGCGTTTTAATAAAAGTTTAAAATACAATCTAATTCAAAGTGAAAGACATCAAACAACATTTAATTATGGAAATTAAAATCCCTGACTATTGAACAGCATATAACAAAGCTGAGAAAGAAATGCAAGCTTTCCTCTTTAATCATTATAGTTACTCTAAAATTTCTGCAATACCCAAAAGGCCTTTGCTGCAGCGTTATTGAACAAATTAAGCAACATGCCTTCTTTTTAATGAAACAATCACAAGCCTTGCCTTTCATCTCAGCCCATTATCTCGGGTTTTCACAGTAAAAGCCAAGTCTAATCTAGGCAATCCAGTGCAGGACAAAACAATCCCTACTATAGTTTGCTTTGCCTGACCAACACTATTTAAAGGGGCACTGTTCTAAATAATGAAAATGTATAACATTTTCTATAAAGATAGCATAAAGGCTCCTATACCATATCTGCATAACTTATTCCATAAAAAATTTTCATAAGTATTGTTATACTGTATGTATCATCTAAATTTATATCTGGCTACCAAACATCATTCATTCAGTTCTACTTTCCTGATATAATCTTATTTCAGGATGAATGTAAATTAAACAAATAACACCACCTTTCTGTTTCCTCCTAAAAAAATGCCTTAGCAGAGTTTACTATACTAGATAAATGGTCATTAGATTTAAGTACATAGGTACTCACACATTTTTGTTATCACAGTTTCATGAATGGTCAATTTATGTAACCTGATCATGGGATGATAAAATGGACATCTGTCTTACCTGCATAAATATCTAACATATCTGAGTATTGCTTGTTTCCCCAAAAATCAAGAGCACTCAATTAAAAACAATTACCAGATTTCCTGTCGTCATGGTGTGGCTGACTCCTTCCCACTGTTCTTGCTTTCCTATAGGCCAGTAATACCACCCCTTTTACTTTACCCAATATGGAGCCAAGGAGGACATGGCTGTGCAGCCATAAGAGTTTAGGTCACTGTTTAGAATATATCTTCCACGAAAATACAAGGAAACTTTGCTTGCCGTCTGAATAAGATAAAAACTAATGGAAACCGGCAAATAACACTTCCTGAAAAAAGTGTATTTTCATAAATTCAGTAGTGTGGTCCTTATTTTCTTATAAATGGGGTGCTGTGTAAATAAACTAAACATGCGGAGGCACCTGAATTTTCCAGCTTTATCATCCCTTGGACAGGTTATAAACTTTTGGCTTCCTCATAGAGTTTTTGATACCATTGTGGCTACTGGAAAGTCAGTACTACAGTAAATTATAATAGGTGGTTGCCTAGTTCTGAATGGATTTAGCATGTCTGTGTTAAATATATTCAATATACTTTTTTTTCTTTCTCTTTTTCCTCTCCTCTTTTTGTTTTTCCGCTTTGGCAGGGAGCCAGTGGTCTGTCTCCTAGACTTTGGGAAGTCCGAGATCTTTACTAATTTTACATATCTATACCTCTCCTCATCTTTGCTCTTACTACTCCTTTTAAAATGTCAAGACTATGGTTGTAATGGTTCTTTCTTTGGGCATTTTATACATATGCTCATTTGTTTGATATATTGTATGCCTATTAACTAACACATGTTATACCACTTTATGACTTTGAATAGTAAATCAATTTAAATAGATATTTAACTCATAACTGAAGTCACAGCACACAAGTTAGTATTTATCCACCAGGAAGTCATAACTGTAGGTCTGAATCATGAAAACGCCCTTGTGGCATGATGCAGTAGGGTCTCTTCTTATTCTTCTTTTAGAGTGCATGGAGATGCCATTTTTTTTAGATGATCAAACTGCCCTGTAGTTCTTTTTGCATTGCAAGCAAAGCAGGTAAAGCTTATATATTGTGATTTCAACAGGTCCACAATATGAAATGATATCCTAGTATTCCCTTATACAGAGTTTCTCTTTAACATCAAACTAATTTAAGTAATACATATAATTTATAATTTATTTAAAGAGACTCTGGAATGCACACCTCAGCCTACAGCTCCAATGAAGTTTTCTCTCCCACATGTAACGGTGTGTTTTGGTGCTCGGGGACAGCTGGTTAGAGTGTGTCCCAATTTCCCAGATGAAGGTCAGCCTGCACTTGTGGAGATACACAGCATGGAGGTAATTTGTAATCATAACTGTATTAGACGATTTTGACAAACCTACAAAATTTTATTTACAGCTTTAGTTAAAGCTAGCTAAAGATGATCGTGGCATCAGCCGTGAAGCTTCTTTTGTATCATACAATAATGTTAGTGTCTTTTCAGGCAGTTATAATGATCATTCCCTAACTCTATTTAATTCCTTATTTTTTTCACCCAACTATAATTGTTTGAGAACAAAAATGTAATAAGTTTTAAACACACAATTAAATTTTCCATGTCCGGAGACCATTCTTCTACCTCTCTTATTGATTATAATATATGAGACTATCGTAGCTGTTCTCTGAATCTTCGTTTACTAATGCAGAAGATGCCTTAAAAGTGTGTTTAGGGTTGCATTTACACATCTGCATTTTTGAATTGAGAGTAAGCCCAATTGAACTTTTATTTTAAATCATCCTAGATGCTTCAGAACAAAAGGTGTGCGAAATCTTATGGTTCATTTCCTTTAGAAAGCAGACTAATCCTAAGTAGAAAAAACATGTCTCCTACCAGTACGCTGCTGGGAAGAACCCTTGTTGCCTGTGTGAAAGTAGAAGTTGGAAGCCCCCTTTTCTGGGTGCATCCAACGTCTCTCTGTAGAAGTTGGATGCACCCCTTTAGAGAGCTAGACCTCTCTAAATGGCAGGGAGCATGAGCTTTGCTTTTCCTGTTGCAAAGGTATAGGTCTGAATAAGCCAGAGTCCTGTTGGACTGTGCAGTTTTCAGCAAAATGCAGCTACCCTAGGAATGAGTCCATATAAAACACACCTAAGCATGTTTAAAATGCACTTCCTTAAAACATTAACGTGTGGAACATGTATGGATGAAAATGTAGCCCTAGATTAATAAAGCACACTATGTAGTGTGCATTTAAAAGTTGTTTATCTTCTTACCTGTGTCTTGCCTTGCTTTCTTGTGTAGGTTTTACTCAGTGACACTGCAGAACAAGAGGAGATGGGGAACTTTCCAGGACCCGTACAGAGGTCAGTGGTATTTACTAATACTAAATGCAAGTTTTTCCATTGGTGGGTATATAGTTTTCCTGACTAATAGTAATAACAAAGACCCTGCTTTGTAAAACCAGGAAAGTGATTGGATGGTAACAAAAAATGTATGTCAGGGGATAGGGCTGATGCATCATGAAAAGTTGCAGGGCACTGATATAAAATATGAACACAATAAAGAATATACGCGTTCACGTTTAGAAATTAACGATTTATTGACGGCACACCAGAAAATATCTCACGGCACACTAGTGTGCCGCGGCACAGTGGTTGAAAAACGCTGCTCTAATATTATCTTTATTTAATGTGCCCTTCTATAACAGGCTGAATACCTCTATTTGTATGCCTTTATATTTACAAATCTGTGTGTTTATTATATGTATCCTCTATACATGTATATCGAATGTGAATATGTTGTAGTTTGTAAATATATATGTTTATGGGGCAGCCCTGTTTGCTTATTATTTGGGTAATCTGTGCTTCCTGTTTAATAGATCCATTGAGTGATTGTTTTTCATTGGTCCTCTTACTCATTGCATATAGTTAGTTTTATCTCAGTTGTTATTCAGCAGAGATGCTGACTGCATGTTTTCTATACATATAGCTACAGCTGTACATAAAAAATGTCCATATCCAGTTGTCAAGTCACAAGTGTGTAAAAATGTGAAAATCCCATAAAGGTTGGTTTCACATGCTCCATTTTTCAGGCTGGTGACTGCCATTTGAGTACACTGCCATTCTAGCCACTTTGCAGAATCACAGCAGAAACATTTAGTGTTGGTTACACTGAAACACTGCAACTTTTGTACAGGAACACATAAAAAAATATCGGATTGAGTCATGTTTCATATACTGTATTTACATTTACCTATAGTCCTGATGGACAGGAATTTGTGCATACACCTCTGGATATGTGTAACCCCCTGGTTGTCAACTCTTGCTAAACTATTTTGTTATGACAAATAGAAATTCATATCTGGAATGCCATCTCTGGCCTGGCGTGCTTATCCATTCAGTCTATATAAGATGTTCCATTACTTGGCTTTTTAATTACACCATGTTGACCAATTTCAATCAAGAAGGAAATTGCACAAAGAAGTAGCTGGATGGTGAGTGTAGCTGAATGTCCTCTGCAAAGCTGGAAGGAGGATACATTACTTTGCTGTTGTAATTTCATGCTGGATGGGGAGAATAATAATAGTGGTAGGGGATGTAACAATACTGTTGCTGGATATTAAAAAGTTTGTTATACATGCCTTAATTTGTTAAAGGAGAACTCTGGGCAAATAAAAAACATAACCTTTCAGTTGGGCTACCCTCGCTTTAAGGGTTAAATGGTTATTAATCCCTGTGCATGTTTTTGCGTATATCCACTGCTAGCATGCAGTAGATATATGCAAAATGATTTAAAAAAAAAAACTTTTTCAAAGGGTTAATACTTACCTGTGTCTCTGCCGCGTCCTCCCGTCTTGTGAGTAACTTTGATCGATCAAAATAATTTTGATCGATCAAAGAAATTAACGATTTATTGACGGCACACCAGAAAATATCTCACGGCACACTAGTGTGCCGCGGCACAGTGGTTGAAAAACGCTGCTCTAATATTATCTTTATTTAATGTGCCCTTCTATAACAGGCTGAATACCTCTATTTGTATGCCTTTATATTTACAAATCTGTGTGTTTATTATATGTATCCTCTATACATGTATATCGAATGTGAATATGTTGTAGTTTGTAAATATATATGTTTATGGGGCAGCCCTGTTTGCTTATTATTTGGGTAATCTGTGCTTCCTGTTTAATAGATCCATTGAGTGATTGTTTTTCATTGGTCCTCTTACTCATTGCATATAGTTAGTTTTATCTCAGTTGTTATTCAGCAGAGATGCTGACTGCATGTTTTCTATACATATAGCTACAGCTGTACATAAAAAATGTCCATATCCAGTTGTCAAGTCACAAGTGTGTAAAAATGTGAAAATCCCATAAAGGTTGGTTTCACATGCTCCATTTTTCAGGCTGGTGACTGCCATTTGAGTACACTGCCATTCTAGCCACTTTGCAGAATCACAGCAGAAACATTTAGTGTTGGTTACACTGAAACACTGCAACTTTTGTACAGGAACACATAAAAAAATATCGGATTGAGTCATGTTTCATATACTGTATTTACATTTACCTATAGTCCTGATGGACAGGAATTTGTGCATACACCTCTGGATATGTGTAACCCCCTGGTTGTCAACTCTTGCTAAACTATTTTGTTATGACAAATAGAAATTCATATCTGGAATGCCATCTCTGGCCTGGCGTGCTTATCCATTCAGTCTATATAAGATGTTCCATTACTTGGCTTTTTAATTACACCATGTTGACCACTTTCAATCAAGAAGGAAATTGCACAAAGAAGTAGCTGGATGGTGAGTGTAGCTGAATGTCCTCTGCAAAGCTGGAAGGAGGATACATTACTTTGCTGTTGTAATTTCATGCTGGATGGGGAGAATAATAATAGTGGTAGGGGATGTAACAATACTGTTGCTGGATATTAAAAAGTTTGTTATACATGCCTTAATTTGTTAAAGGAGAACTCTGGGCAAATAAAAAACATAACCTTTCAGTTGGGCTACCCTCGCTTTAAGGGTTAAATGGTTATTAATCCCTGTGCATGTTTTTGCGTATATCCACTGCTAGCATGCAGTAGATATATGCAAAATGATTTAAAAAAAAAAACTTTTTCAAAGGGTTAATACTTACCTGTGTCTCTGCCGCGTCCTCCCGTCTGAACATCTGAAAACATCTAATTTGTTAAAGGAGAACTCTGGGCAAATAAAAAACATAACCTTTCAGTTGGGCTACCCTCGCTTTAAGGGTTAAATGGTTATTAATCCCTGTGCATGTTTTTGCGTATATCCACTGCTAGCATGCAGTAGATATATGCAAAATGATTTAAAAAAAAAAACTTTTTCAAAGGGTTAATACTTACCTGTGTCTCTGCCGCGTCCTCCCGTCTGAACATCTGAAAATTTCTCGGGCGGCCATAAAGGATCTTGGGGCGGGCGCATGCGCAGTTCAGATGTTCGGCAGGGAGACGAGGAGAGGCACAAGGTAAGTATATGAAGCTGCGTGCACCCGCACAGACTCCGTGAGACATGAGCGAAGAGGAAGGCAGATGAGTCAGGGCTGGATCGGACACCCGCACCAGCGCTGGAGGGACAGCTAAAAACTACAGAAAAGAAGAAGATCGGATTAAGAGACATAATTTAAGTCCCTACAGCAGGATTGGGAAGGGGGAAAAAAGTGCTCAGTTTGATAGGGAAATTAAATAAACTGTTTTACTTGCCTGATCCCCACAGCGGTCAGAATTCACTTCTCCCCCTCCCTGCTCCGGCTATAAAATGTCCCTCACGTATAATGCATGTCAATGCATATTAGACCACTGGAGCTCAAGGGAGAAGAGGCTGCTGGGGTTGATCTAGAAGCCCAGAGGAAGCTGGGATAAGGTAAGTAAATCTTCTTTATTCCAGCCCCTAGACTAAAACAAGCACTTAACTCTTTCAGTGTGGAGGTAGCCCCACTGCAAGGGTAAGTTTTTTGTTTGCCCGGAGTTCTTCTTTAAGTAAAGCTAGAGCAGCTAGAGGGAAAATAGAAAGCATTTCTGGGAATACTTGGCACCCATGCGGTGCTCTGTGATGCCTTTTTGCCCTATAAAGATGCGCTGTTCGGAAAGGAATATTTTCAATAGAGATTTGAAGCCTGTAAGAGCATTTTTGGGGTGCATGCAATGAAAGACCTCAAAAGATAATTTAGGTTTTGATGCTCCAACTGTCCTGTGTGTGAGTCCTAACCATGATAATATACAACAATGCTTCTCTCTTTCTGCTAAAAGTACTTTATTCAACTGGGGTGGCTTTTTTTTTCCTGTTTGTTTTGATACATTCCGGGAAATTGTGTGGTCTGCCGTGTGAGCAACCTCTATGGACTGCTTGATTCCTTTAAATTAATTACAAGGCAAAGGCCCAAGTAGACTCTCCTCTGCTGGTAACATTCCTACATATCTATATAACAAAGAACTTTAAGAACATGTACAATAGAACTGTTCAAATCCCAGGCTGGCACTGTTTTCTCTACGCTAAATTACACAGAAATATCGTTACTTTTCAGAAAACTCACTAATCCATGCAAATCATCAAGGACATTTCCAAGTTATGTCATTTGATGAAAACATGTCATTTTTGTCAGTTTTAATTATCTGTGTCCTTTAGACCTCCAGTTTCTAAAGTAAACAGAGTTAATTTGGCAAGCGTTTTTCTCATAAATAATTCTACCGTCCCATTTATTAATTGTGTTACATATCACTGAACTCTTTTTAGTTTCAACAGCTGAAAAGGATCCAGATAAACAAAAGAGGCTGAAATAATGGGCCACGAGTGGAGCCTAGGCAAGGAATTTGGGCTGAATATTAGTAGTTTGTGGGGATGAGTGGGGTGATTTTGTAGAAAATTATTAAGCAAGGTTAAATGTGCTTGTTTTTTATTTACAGTAACAGGTGTTTTTGGCGTATTTAGGGTAGTTTATTTTCATTTAGTGCTATATCAGTTTGTGATTTTTCCTTTTTTTTTCTTTTTGTGTGTTTGAATGTTTTTTGTGTTTGGTCATTTTACATTTGACAAATTTTTTTATCATTGTTTCATTAAAGAAAAAAAATTATAATTAGGCCAATAAGGGTCTGCGTATTGTCACTAGTGTGTCCTATAATGGGTTGAGATCAGAGGGAAAAAACTGTAAATGGACAAACAGCGCTCTTGAAAATGGGCTCAAAGTGAACAAAATGCAGTGTGCTGCCCACAAAAACAGTAGGAGGACCAGTGTTTGCTATATTTCAGCATTTTTGAGATCAGAGGGAGAAATCAGTGAGGGCTGCTAGGAAGTCAGGAGACTGATACTCCTGGAAGTGTTGGTTTCCGTTCATATTTCAGC